ATCTCTGTAAACTACGTGTATTGTATTCACTGAATTTCACTCTCTCCCTTTAACGGCTCGTTGTAGCTCCACGCCCCCACCCTCCCTGTGAGCACAGTGTGCTCTGATTGGTCGGGACCATGCTGAACACGTAACATGAACGTGCCGGGCGGCGTGGTCTCGTGGGTTAGATGCGCGTTCATAATGCAGAGGGAAATAACTTGCAGAATAACGTTATTAGCACATTTTTACAACTTGAGGAACTAATCTTTTTAATAAGGGCTATACAAGTGTTCATACTGGGTAGTTTATTTAGTTTTAAAAAATTATCCAACGATTTACAGACCACTCTTTCCCCATGTAAGTCAATGGGAAAAAGTGTTTCCGGGCCTGGCAACCAAACGGAAGTGTAGTACCGCCGTTTGGCCAACACGAATATTTTCATCTGAGTCCGGAGCACTTCCTGGGGGCTTGGTGTATCCTCCCTTTCGTCTCCTCCCGCACCCCTCCTCCTTCACCCCTCCTCGACTCCTCCGTGTGCATTTCAGCTATTGGGACGTCCTTCAAAATGGCGTGTCTTGATCGATTTCCGGGTCAAGTCCCGGAGGAGGGGAAGAGAGGAGTCAAGGAGGGGTATTGGGATGAGGCTAAGGTTTCATGGAGCTCACCCGGAAGGGGAGGGACTTCGCCACTCTATTCTTCCAGTTCTCCGTTTTCCTGTGTTGAAATCGACCAGCTGTGTAGGTCGGGGCGGGGCTTTTATACGCAAGTAGTGAAAACACTTCCGCGTAATCTGCTCTCGTGTATCCCATCCTCCCTTTCGTCTCCTCCCTCACCCCTCATCCCTCACCCCTCCTCGACTCCTCCGTGTGCTTTTCAAGTATTGGGACGTCCTTCAACATGGCTTGTCTTGATCGATTTCCGGGTCAAGTCCCGGAGGAGGGGAAGAGAGGAGTCGAGGAGGTGTATTGAGATTAACCTAAGGTCCCCTCATCTTTCTTTAGACCTTTTTTAAATGAAGGAAGTAAGTCATTAAAGGTCATTAAGTTCACCGTGACATCCTTGAGCTAAACATTTCAAAGAGATGGAGCTGACCGTTTATTTCCCACAGGACACAAACCAAACACCACGTACGTTCAACATGTAATGTTCAACTCTGCATTTCACAAATCCATTATTGAAATCTGGCTTAATCTGGTATGATTTTGCCATTCAAAGGTTCCTTGCGAGCAAGGCATGTGTGACAATTGTCTGTGACCCTTGCCTTTTCAGACTAACTAAACCCTTTCAAAGACAGTGGGGCTTCACAGTGCATTGATAACCAAAATGCCATCATCTTTCTTATATACAAGACTAGCTTAATGTGTGCTTGACTTCTACAGAGGTTCAATCATGTCATGCAAGTGCAGCAATTGTATTCACCGAATACAAGTAATTGCGATTTTGATTCACCTAAAATATTGAATGAAAACCTTTTTATAAAATAATTTCTCTTTATTGATAAATGTAACACCATTATGGTTACGCTGATACCACCATATTAAGCCAGATACATCATGCTGTATTGCAAACAACGTTACGAAGAACATACCGTTAAGGGTTCTCAAAATCTGTATTATGGGACTTGCAGACTTGAAAGATAAAAGGCAAAGCTGCACTTAAAGCAAATCTCTGGCAATTACATATTTGAATGTGTGTTTCTGATTAATGCATCATATTTCCAGTAACTTCCCCAAAGCACATCAAATTAAGGCAGAAATCTCATATGTCTCATTTGCAAACTATCATTTTAAAGTGACGTCTCTATCTAACTGGTTTTTCTTTTTCTTTTCTCCAGACCATCTCTGTTTCTGTATCAGTCCTAACACTGAGCTGCATTGCTCAGGACCGTTGGTATGCTATCTGCCACCCTCTGATGTTCAAGAGCACAGCCAAGAGGGCTCGCAAGAGTATTGTTGTCATCTGGGTTGTGTCGTGCATCATCATGATCCCTCAGGCTATAGTGATGGAGTGCAGCAGCCTTCTGCCAGAACTAACAAACAAGACCAGCCTGTTCACAGTGTGTGATGAACATTGGGGAGGTGAGTTTTCACAAATCCTCCTCAAACACTTGGAAATTGTGCCAAATTGCTCACTTGTTGCCAGAGCCATAAATTAATCTAAAACCAAATGAAAGACCAAAAGGACGACTCCCACTCACATTTTCTTTTTGTTTTTCAAAGCGATTCTTAAGAGAGCATTATTTGCTCCCTGTGCTGAAATAAATATACGTGTCTGACACCATTTAGCTGCCCTTTGATGCTTTAATTATAAGAGCAGAGCCCCGTTCACAGGGCAAATAGGGACTAATGAATTAGGATGGATGACTTTTGATGGAGTTCACATAATGAAGTCAGTTTGCATCGCTGATTTATGTACCCAAAGGAGGAAAGCCAAACAAAAAGAAAAAGCCTTTTAACCTCACCCTCATTAGAGGCAGGTTGATATGAAAATAATGAAACTTCCATGGCTTTCTTTATTGACACATGAAAGGGAAGGTCAATGAAACACTTAAATAAAACACTCCAACTATACCAATTAAAAAATATCTCAAGGCAAAGTTGAATGTTCTTTGTTGGAGAAAATAACAGAGTGCCCTGCAGGACTGTCAAACCTTTTCTTTGCACTTCTCCAATCGGTGTGCGAGGGGCTCTAGCAAGAGATAGAAAAGAGAGTGAAGGGCAGTATTTTCACCTTAAAACCAAAAACACAAGAGCAAACATCTAGGAATATGTTAAACAATGTTACTGTCTGTTGTACTGCAAGCTACACACATTAGGATGCACTTTTATTAGTAACCTGTTGTTACTTTCTATGACATTAGTCTGTTATTAGCTTTCTATATAAACCGGATTTCAGTGTTGAGCTGAGCTTTGCCGTCCAGCGAGAGATGCATGCCCCCATCGGAGAATGTTTACAAAACCATCAATAAATCAATGTTTTATTAAATGCAGCAGAAGTAACATTTATTTTATACGGTACTGGTTTGAGATTTGCAAGGTTTCCTTGATTAATCCATCACTATCTGTGAAGGTGTTGTTATTTGATCTTATTGATGGTTTTTAAGCATTATAGGTATTTATTTATGCAGTAGGTTTGTTCCAGGTGGCACATTCCCTTTGTCAGGTCAATCTTGATCAAGTTAAGTCTGTGATAACATCATTACATTTCTATCTCAGTTTTTAATGAAACGTTCTGACTGAAAGTGAAGAGGCCGGTATATTTCAGTATTCAACAGAAGTTAATATAATTCCAACTTGTTTCATTAATAAAGGGACCGTTGAGCCAAAATGGACCAATATATGTGCTAAGATATATTTATTTCATAGATCTCCCGAAGTCGTTAGATTATGCATTATTTTGCATATTCTATTTAATTTCACAGTCGAGTGAACATGACCAAATATCTGTTGTTAAACCAATTCACTCCTGTGTCTCCAGAGAGAAAGTGTGTTATTCTGAAGAAGTATGGTGTTTCATGGTGCATCCTGCATCATCTTTCTCCTTCAATTATTCAACTGTTACTCTACAATGAGTCATCCTCCTCTTGACTCCTGTTCTGTTCAGAGAAGGCAGCAACATGCGTCTTTTGTGATTATTATAAGTGGACCACACTCTTTATTTATGAACACACAAGTAATTACCATGAAAAGTCCTTGTTATTTGTGTTGCGCGCATAAAATCGCACACTTGCTACCCTCACATAAACCATACATTATCACAGAAACGTGCAAGAAATTATTTGCCTATACCATCTTCGTATTATGATGGTTGTATTTTCCCTGCCAAGCAGCGTTACGTGTGTATTATGTTAAGGTTTTTTAATTGGTAATACATTCAAATTGTAAAGATAGGGCCAACATATCAAAATATATTATTGACAAAGCTAGTGAATGAGTGCTTCCCCAGCCTATGCAGAGGTCTTCCCTTTACCTGAATTTGTTCTGATTGCTCGTATCTCAATGCATCTGTACACATTCACACCACCTAGAGTTGTCCACTTTTGGTCGGATTATAAAAGAAGCATGGCTTCTCTGAACAAGGCCTCAGTCACCTCCAAACTGCTTCTAATCGGCTGTAGGATCCAGTGTTTATTCAGGGCAGCTCACCTCCACTTTTTTACATTTTGCATAAATGACCTGCCAGACTACTGTTGCCAGTGTCCTGCTGTCTGTCTGATTAGCAAGCTTTCCTGCCTCAGTGCCTTTTTACGTTTAGCCTGATTTCACTGCCTGCCAGTTGACAAATGGTCTTCTGTTTAATGACTTTCGTATTACGTAAATGCCTTTAACTCAACCAACCATGTGACTGTGTCTACATCTTGCCCATGTTGCCAGCTACCAGACTTATGCCAGCGGGAGAGAAATGTATTCCCTCTTATCTTTGGCCACGGAAGTGTCAGTTTAAATTAAAGTGATATCACTGTATCAGCTAGAAGTGTTTTATGCAGATGTCATATTTTGTTATTGTCCAACAATGGTCGTGTACTGTATGTGCAAACATGACAGTGGGAGCTGCCTTTTTTTGTTCGTTAGATTTTAGTTAGAAGGTTTTCTTCTTATATGTTGATCCTCCATGCTTTGTATTTCTTCAAGAGCTCTTTAGTCTCATGGAGTTATCAATGTGTATTATAGGACTGACAAGTTTGCTCTCAGTTATTATTAAGTGATGCCTCAGATGAACCAACTGTCGGACTTGCTGGGGCTTTTTATCTTTCATCTTTACTCTTTAGTTTAAAACTAAGCTACTGACAGTCATACAGGTCTTAATAATCATACTACTGCTCTATGAAATGATATAGGACATATTGATGTGAAACACAGAGATAAGAGCTGTCTTTAACCGTCACTGTGAAATAGAGCACGCTTCTGGTGTGTGATTTTGACCTCAGAAGATAAAGTACATTTATTTCACACCTGAAATCGTCACACAGACAACGCCTGGTTGAGGTGAGGACATTGTCCTTGGTAGAGTCTCAAAAGTCCAGAACAAGTCATAGGAGACTGAAATGCCAAATGGAAAAAACTGGAAATAAAGTTTGATGCAAAAATAGAAAGATTTACCAAAGTAAAGCTGGTACCCTTATCACAAAGTTTCCAAGATACAATAAGATACATACTGACTTGTTGTCATCAAAGGGGCTTAAGGCATATCCAGCTGCCTGAAGCATTAAGAATGTTACGTATATATTTATTGTATATATACATGTCTGTGATTTATCTTTAATCTATAAGGCGGATGGTAAATCAGCACACACTTTATTTAAAAGACTTTGACCTGACAGAGTCAATGTGACTTCCTTTATCAATTTTTTATGAATATCATTTTACAATAAAGCTATGTTTAAATATGTCGAAATCGATGGACTTCACATTCAGAAATATGGAGGGATTTTGGGAGAGGTTTAACATTGAGAGCGTTTGAGCACATTTTAGAAAAGTTGTATCAAGATCTGCTTCATCTACTGAGTGTAAAAAGGAGAAAATTGACAATGAACTTCTCGTTTTATCCGTTTTTACCAGCTTTAAATATTATAAGCCCACCTGTTCAAACCGCAAAGTGCATTCAGAACTTGGAAAAACTGTCAAAAAATACTTCAGGAGAGGAAAATTGTGTTTGTGTAGGAGTTCTGTCCTGTATTTATTTATTTGAGGATTTACACCCAAGCTGCTCCAAATTAACCTATGAGGTATTGGTTATTTCCTTTTCTCTTGTAAGTGAAACATGAATTTTAAATCTGATTGAATATGACAGCTGAAGTTGTCATTTCTGAAGAAATGTCAGACGTATTGTGCAAAAAAAAAGACTGCTTATCTAGTTTGTTACATTTGTTAAAGATTGACAGGCATGGCAACAATTGAGGTTGTGAGTCCTCGCTAGTTCGCTCTCCAGAAAGTTTCCAATGTTATTAAGATGATGTTTTTCATCTTTCAACAGCTGAGGTCTACCCAAAGGTCTACCACACCTGTTTCTTCATCGTCACATACTTTGCACCCTTATGTCTTATGGTCTTGGCATACATCCAGATATGTCATAAGCTGTGGTGTCCACAGGTTAGCATTACAGAGATTTATTTGATTAATGTCGAAACATTAGTGAATTAGTTCTTCCAGGGCCAAGTTAACACCGCCTAATGTATGCACATATTAAATCAACAGATTCCTGGGAGCACATCAGTGCTTCAGAAGAAGTGGAGATCCATCCAGTGCTCAGCTTCGGCTCCGGCATCTGGAGAGCCCATGAGAGTGAGGACGAGCACGGTTTGTGCTGAGATCAAACAGGTGCGAGCCCGACGGAAGACGGCTCGCATGCTGATTGTGGTGCTCTTTGTTTTCGCCCTGTGCTACCTGCCAATCAGCGTGCTGAATGTCATGAAAAGGTAAAAATGATACAGTATATTTACTGGTGAAATGTTGCTTGTTTTCTGCAATTCAAAAAAGTTATTAAGAGTGTAACTAAAAGCATGCAAACCAGATCTTTAACTGATAAATTACTTCTTTACCTGCAGAGTCTTTGGGACTTTCAAAAAAACAAACGACAGAGAGACCGTGTACGCATGGTTCACTTTCTCCCATTGGCTCATATATGCTAACAGTGCAGCAAATCCCATCATCTACAATTTCCTCAGCGGTAAGTTTGTAACCTCCTCATCACTGACATCAGTTGTGTAGGTTTATTACTTCCCTCTAGTGGACAGTGTGCTAACAACATTACAGCTATTTGGTTTGAATTGTTCTCTGATAAGAAGTAATGTATATGCAAACATTAATCTCAGAAAAATATGCATTTATCACCCAAAAATCTAAAATGTATCGTTCTTTTTTACGGTGCAAGGGCAAATGCTCTACGGCAGCCCAAAACACTTATATTAGGAGAAACGCGCTGCACTTAAAAAACGATGCGAAACACAAATGTGCAAAAAGAAATGCGAATGAAGAAACATATTCACCAACTTCACAACACATGTGCAGCGTTTACCAAAAGCACTGCAAATAGCTGGAAAAAGCTTAAAACACAACCAGGGGACACTAAAAAGTGATGCACACAGCTGGGATCGGAGCACATGTATTTTACTTCGTTTTTCAACATTTTCAGCATTTTTATATTTGCAGTGTTTTTTTACTCGCAACATTCTGTTCCTGCACTGTTTTTTCCTGCGTTGCCCATATGTTGTCAAGTTGGTGAAGATGTTTTTTCATTTGCATGTGTTTTGTCACTTTTGTTAATTTATATTTGCATAGTTTCTGAGGCTGCAGCGCGCTTCTCTTAATGGAAATGTTTTGGGCCTCTGTACTTTTTTTCCTCAAAATAACAAATGCATTTCTAAAATGCCTTTTTTTTCATGCAAGGCCTACAAAACGATCAAACTGAATGGTTTCTGTTTGGATTTCATCTTTTTAACCAGGGAAGTTCCGCGGGGAGTTCAAGGCTGCTTTTTCGTGCAAGGGTCAAAATCGAGCGCAGAGGACGAGGCCCGTAGCGAGCACAGACAGCCGGAAGTCACTGTCAACGCAAGTCAACAACATGGACAATGTGTCACGCATATCAGATCAGATAGTGTAGTCTTGTGGTCCAGGTGAGAAGTTCTCCTGACTCATTCATCCTCAAGGCATATGTTGAATTGCTTGAACCTTGTTAAAAAAACAGACAGACACTTGAATGGGAAAGAATGCTTCACAAATGAATGTTTTGTGTTTGTTTCACAAGGACAATAAGGAGTTTCAGAGAACTGAGCAGTGCTTTCTGAAAGCTTCTCCCTTTGTTTACATAATGACAAACACAGTAAGGACAAGGCTATCATTTGTAATTCACGGAAAGGACACCATTTGAATGTTTAATATTTAAAAGTGCAATATGTATTGGTATTAGGTATTACAATATAGGGCTAGATGGTTATTATGCCCAGTAGGTGGAGTGAACATATTTCATTGACGACTTTGTCATTACCTCAAAACTACTCATATTCTGTTTATATTGTTAGTTCATTTTTAAATGTTTGAAGCAACATTATGGACATATCTTGCTCATTGCACCTTCAAAAACTCATCCCGAATGTTGTTTTTATAATAATTGCACATGGATAGTATTACAGGGTATATATTTATTTCATATTTATGTATTTATTGGTAGCCTCTTTTTTTTACAACATCGGCAGAGGAACTACTATAGAGATTAAATCTTTTAACTGAAAATAATTTGAATGAATGTTATGTCAAACATCTTAAACCTCCAAGATGATTCTGCATCTGTTCCTCATGAAGTATGCATTAACTTTTCCCAGTGGACCTCATTATTTCACTTTTCACACATATGTTTTGTTTTTTTACACCATCAAAAAGTGGACATTTGGGAGTTTCTAAAAAAAAGTTTGAAAAGAAAACAGTATTTTCAAAGTTTTCTTTGTAAATGCACTTAAATGCTTCTGTGGCTTCACAAAGAGATTCAGAGCCAGAGAGAAAAATAAGTATTTTGTATACTTATACAAAAACAACTCTTAAATATACACAACCAAGAACCGTCCTGAAGTGTGATTAAGATGTTCAGTGATAGACATCATTAACCATGTGCATTGACTAATGGCTACTAATCAAGCCTTGTCAACAAAAAAGCAACACATTAATTTTCTGCCATTAATGGTGATCTTTCACTGTCTCAAATACCATAGTAAATCTTGGTCTTCTCAATAACTACGACTGACCATCTTATTTTTTTATCACCTCGAGGCCCAGTACACATAGTCTTACCTGCCCCGGTAATGAGGCAGTAAAAATACATTTTATTTTATATCTCCAGATATTATTATTTACAGTATATGCTGAAGAACCAGCACCTTACCGTGGTAGAGAGGCTTGTGTGCCCTGATGAACCTGGGGGCTGTGTTGTCTGGAACCTTGTGTTCCTGGTAGGGTCTCCCATGGCAAATTGGTCTCAGGCAAGGGGCCAGACTAAGATTGGTTCAAAAGACCTCATGAAAGACGACACAGGAAGTGAGGATACCCGGCCCGGAGGAAGCCCGGGGTCCCCTTCTGGAGCCAGGCCCAGAAGGAGGACTCGTCGGCGAGCCTCTGGTGGCCGGGCTTACCACGGAGCTTCTCCCTCCGGGCACAGCCCGAAAAGGCAACGTGGGCAACACCTCCACTTCTCCGTCCCGCGGGCCCACCACCTACGGGAAACAGGGGTCGGGTGCGCTGCCAGAAGGGTGGCAGTGAAAGCAGAGGGTCTCGACGGACCAGACCCGGGTGATAGAAGCTGGCTTTGGGGACGTGGAATGTCACCTCTCTGGGGGGGAAGGAGCCGGAGCTTGTGCGGGAGGTGGAGCGTTACCAGTTGGATCTGGTTGGGCTCACCTCTACGCACAGCGTCGGCTCTGGAACCTTACTTCTGGATAAGGGTTGGACTCTATTCTTCTCCGGAGTTGCTCAAGGTGTGAGGCGCCGGGCGGGTGTGGGGATACTCACAAGCCCCCGGTTGGGTGCTTCGTAGTTGGAGTTTACCCCAGTGGACGAGAGGGTCGCCTCCCTACGCCTGCGGGTTATGGGCGGGAAAACTCTGACTGTTGTGTGTGCTTATACACCCAACAGCAGTTCAGAGTATACGGCCTTCTTGGAGACCCTGGAAAGAGTCCTGTATGGGGCTCCTGAAGGGGACTCTTTAATCTTGCTGGGAGACTTCAACGCACATGTGGGCAATGATGGAGACACTTGGAGGGGCGTGATTGGGAGGAACGGCCCCCCTGATCTGAACCGGAGTGGTGGTTTGTTACTGGACTTCTGTGCTAGTCATGGATTGGCCATAACAAACACCATGTTCGAACATAAGGATGCTCATAAGTGTACGTGGTACCAGAGCACCCTAGACAGAAGGTCCATGATCGATTTCGTTATCGTATCATCGGACCTAAGGCCGTATGTTTTGGACACTCGGGTAAAGAGAGGGGCGGAGTTGTCAACTGATCACCATCTGGTGGTGAGTTGGGTCGAGTGGCGGGGGAAGCCTCTGGACAGACCTGGTAAGCCCAAATGTGTAGTTCGAGTGAACTGGGAACGTCTGGAGGAGGCCCAAGTTCAGGAGGCCTTTCAACTCACACCTCCGGCGGAGCTTTTTGGGCATTCCTGTGGAGGCTGGGACATTGACCAGAGTGGCGGTGTTCAAAGCCTCTATTGCCGAAGCTGCGGCGGGGAGCTGTGATCTCAAGGTCTTAGGCGCCTCAAGGGGCGGTAACCCTCGAACCTCCTGGTGGACACTGGTGGTCAGAGAAGCCGTCCGACTGAAGAAGGAGGCCTTCAGGGATTTGTTATCCCGGGGGACTCCCGAAGCAGTTGCAAGGTACCGACAGGCCCGAAGGGCAGCAGCCTCAGCCGTGGCCGAGGCAAAGCAGCGGGTGCCTGCGTGGGGGTGTGGAGGGGTGATTTTGTTATGTGTGTTTTTTTTTTTTTATCTGTTGATGATGGTGTTGTGTTTTTGTGGTTTTTGTTGTATGTCGTTTGTTGACTGTGGTTTTTGAGTTTTTTTGTGGTTAGGATTGGTCTTTTTTTGTGTTGGGTGATGTTTTTGGTTGATGAAGTACTGATTTTTTTTTTTGGGTTTTGTAGAGGTGTTGGATTTTTGGGGGATTTGGTTTTCCTGATGGGGGTTTTATTATGTTTTTTATATTGAGTCTTTTTTTGGAGATTTTTGGGTTGTGTCTTGAGGGCCTTTTTGTGGGTGGCTTGTTATTGTGAGTTGGAGGGTTTTAGGTGGTGGGAGGGGATTTTTTTTTTTTTTTTTGTTGTAATGGTTATTGGACTGTTTTGGTTGGGTTTTACGGATGCGTGTTTGGGGTGATCTATGGTTGATGTGTGAAGGTGGTTTTGTGTTTCTATTTGGTGATGGTGTTGGAATTTGTTTGTTATGAGTTTAGATTTTGGGTAGTGGTTGATACATTTCTGGTGATGGTAGGATTTTTTGTTGATGTTGAGTGTGTATTTGATTTATGTTTGTCATTGTTGTTTTTTGTTTTGTGTTATAGTTTGGGGGTTGTGAATATGTATATGTTCTGTTGTTCTGGAGATAGATCATGTGGAAATAAAGACTTTCTCTCGCCGTCCGGTCAAATTTGGTCCATGGAAAACTGTTCGCTGTCACGTCGTGTCAGCAGGTTGGAGAGAGGCGGGAACATCCGAAGCTGTGTACAGTAAGGGGACGGGGACGTTGTGGATCGCTTTGTCAACGTGAGTGAGGTTTAGGTGCGTTGGATGATGGGGACACTTTGTGTGGAGGAGATGTCGCTGGAATTCGCGCGACAACTCCTGCTCTCTGGATGTTTGAGGGAGGCAGCGCTGGAGTATGACGGGGGGGTGGGTTCGACAGCCGAATTGTCTCTCCGGTGTGGGGAGGTCTACTGAGGATCTGCAAACATTACTTGCGTATCTAGTGATTCAAATGCCCCTGGTGGTGGGATAGATCTCGCCTCTAAATGTCTGTAAGTGGCTCTGGGTTCTGAGAATCGTGTGTTTTTGGTATTATGTGATTGACTACTGTTCTTTCGATTATCATTACGTTTGTTTAGTTGAATAATCCAGAAACGTAGTTATCGAAGAAGTGGGTCAAGATCGGGTTTGTGGTTTGTGTGGTTTTCCCCTTTTTTAAGAAAGGGGATCTGTAGGGTGGGTGTGCATGATATTGATCAGAGGTCTTTTCACATATTTCTATCTCGCGTCTTCGCGCCGGGCTATATATAGTGTTACTCTCTTGGGTTGGTACTCGTATGATTTTAGTAGGTCTAAGGCTCGGTTCTTGTCGTTCCTCAGATTTGAAGAGTGTTAATCCAATGCGGTTTCCGTCTCTGGTTCGTGGATACAACGGAATCTAAGTCTTTCTTCTCTTTTGCAAGGATCCCTGGTATGTTGGGCCTGGGAGTATCGCGTATGTTTAGCAGGTCTCAGTGTGTTTTTGGTGATTGAGAGAAGGGTATTAGAGACCGGTGGTTTCCCAGGTAGTCACTAGTTGGGATGGTGATCGTGCTGGAGTTTTATGGGGGTGTCGAGGGTGAGGTTCTCTTTATCCAGGCACATCTCTGTCGTCTTAACTCCAGTGAGGCGAGAGCTGTGTCCTGGTGTGTTCTTTTATTTTTCTTTCTGGCAGTTATAAATCGTGACCCTGTAGTCTATGGAGGGGGTTTGGCGCTCTGCAATGGTCTTGCTGCTTCTGTCGTTACTTCCTTTTTTCTCTGTGTTGGTTATTTGTAATGTATACAGTGGTAGTCGGGAATTTTGAGTGGCTAGTCGTATGGTGGGGAGGGTGGTCTGCATACTGTTTCGGTGGGACTAAGATTTGCTAGCCACTGCTTTTTGCAGATGAGAGATTGGTAGGTTTGATTGGCGTCCAGTCTGTTCTTGCGATCGCGTGTCAGACGCTACTCGGGACTGGAGTCGGTTCGCATATTTGCTCGATTGTGGGAGCTGCTGTGTTATTGAGGGATCGAGCGGTCCTCCGATGCTGGATTGGTCTCGTGTGATGGGTTCTATGTCTGGGAATTTCTGATTGGAAGTGTCCACTCCAAGGTGAGTCCTACCCAGTGAAGG